TATATATATATATATAAATTAGTCGATTGATTGATTTTTTATTTTATTACTTATTTATTTATTTATCTCTATGTTTATTTAATTTGTCATTTATAATTCTTACTGTAGAAGTCTCGATTTTTATATAATTATAAATCCGAATTCAACTTTTAACAATGAGCAATTTTTACAGTAAATTTGGGTTATATAATCAAACCTAAAAAATCCCAAAAAAAAAAACAAAATCCCAAATTTGTTCCAAATAAGTTTAATAAATTAAATATTTTATAATTAACGTTGCTCGAGAATTCGTAACATACTACCTGAACTCGCTTTGGTACAGTAGCTTTGACCGGTGTATTATCCATTTGTTTCAATGAAATGACCACATTATAGCCTAAGCCTGGTTTAAATGTTTCACCTTGTTTGTCAACGTCTAATTTTACATCATGTCGATAAGCCACAATCTAGAATGATAAAATAATGATAATAATAATAATAAAATAATAATAATAATAACAGTAATAATAATGATGAATATTAATAATATATTCTAGTAATGTATACAGTATTCTTGTTTCTCCCAAAAATTTCAGTAATTACTTCAGTCGTAGCATTTCTTTTGATCCCTGTTAAATCTTCCGTTACCGTAGCTGCAATTTTAATTGAGCTACCTCCAAATGATGTTATCAATTTATGTTTTTTTAATTCTTCATTAGCGAACACAAAAGTAGCTTCTCCCATATTACTAAGTTTCACTGTTCTTTCGATAACGCTTCCTTGTTCTGCCTGAACAATATATTTACTCTTATAAAATGCTTATTTTAATCAACGCAAAGTATTACTTTATCATTTAATAAAAGTAATCAGAGTTGAATAATATCCAAAATTGATTAAAGAGAATATTTTTGAAAATAATTTAATATATGCAAGTATTTGAAAACAATCAAATGCGATTGACAAAACTTTTAAATTAATTACTGAAAGTCTTTAAACGATTGAAAATCCCTGAATAATAAGCTTTATCCAAAAGTAATTCAAATTAAGCAAAAAATTTTTCGCTTAATTTGAATTACTTTTGGATAAATCAAATATTTTGCACTACGTCGATTGTAATACAAAAATGCTCAACAAGCATTCTCGCTTTGAAGCGGTATAATTTTCTCACGTAATATTTTTATTTGTCCAAAAATTAGTTGCATTTTTCGTTGCACCTCTTAATTATTTGCAATCTTATTTCATGGATATTATTTAGCTACAGATTTCAACTGTAATTAGTTAAGAAATTTAGAGCAATTAATTATAAATTACTTTAATTAAAATACTAAGCATTATAGTTGCAAACCTCTTGAACAATGCCATCATCTGCAACCACCACAGGTACCGCAAACTGGTGCCAAGGTAACTCCAAAGTTATTTTAGCTTTACCTGACACGCCTTTTCCATAGGTATATCTAAAACAAACTTTTGATAATTCATTTCAGTCTAAAGAACATGTATTATTTAGAAATAATAAATTAATACTCCTTAGGCGTAGTCGAATAATTTTACAAAGATATGTTTAATAAATTGTTTAATTTTTCTAAATTTTGTATCGCATAAATTTATATAAAAATGAAAAAAATTACTTAATAAAAATATAATTATTCTTTTTTTAATAATTGTAATTAATATAAATTTGTTATAATTGTTAAAACTTGATAATTTCTCACTTAGAATCAATATGAACGACCAAATCATCATTTATTGTGATAAAATTTGGTGTTTTGATGTTTACTTCAAATTTAGGCAAAATATATTTGTCAACAGTGAATTTTTTTGAAAATTCAATGCCACTTTTCGTTTTCACTTCAATTGACCATTCACCAAGACTTGGTTCTACTGAGAGTTCGAGCTCATCCGAGAATACTCCTAAATATCATGGATAATTTCATGAAAAATCACAAATGAATACAACTTCTGACATTCACAAATTTGAAAACAAAATCACACAATAAATTTACATAATCAAAAAAGTGAAATAAACAATTTTTGGACCTTTGATTAGTGTCTGATCGACTTTCTGTGAAATAATATTCAAAAATGGATCTCTTATTGTCACTGATATGGTTTCTGTATATGGTTGAAGTTTTGGTGTGACCACTATTGCACGAAATCGAACTGCAATATTTCTGTAGTAATTTTAGTTTTTGAAATAATATATCATATTTTTTCAAAGATTTCAGTTTCATCACACGTAATTTTTTTTAAAATTGGTAGAAAACCTAATACATTAATATATATTTAACTGCATGCTTAAATAAATAACTTGTATAAAATATGCAGCACGTATGATGAACGTGATATATTAATTTGAACACGTGAAAACAATGAAACTGAAAATATTTAATTAATAAATTCTTTGAATGATTAGTTAATGAGACAAACCAGTAGATCCCGGCTTGTAGATGGCTTTATCAGTTTGTACAAATACAGATAGTGATTTTGCATCATAGTAAACAGTTTTTTCGTCTTCAAATAGTACTTTTGAACCAATAGTTTCTGCTCTAACGTAAACTTTGTAATTGTAATCAGGCTGAAGACTTTGAGGGGATAATTCATCAATTGTTACTGTTTGTGGTACTCCTATAACATAATTAACAATTTATGTGATGCTAGAATCATTTAAAAGTATTTAAGTAATAAAGTTTTAATTAACTTTCAGAATTTAAAATGCCTAAATTTTTTGAACAAATATGGCTCATTTTTTATAAATTTAATTAATGCATACTAATAATTTTTTTTAATATTTGTATTTGAAAGTAAAAATAATTTTTTCATTTATGACTTTTTGCTAGAAAATTATTAACAGTTACAAACTAAAGCACAGTTTTTTAATAAAAAAATAGCAAAGTCAATTTCAAAAGAAATAATTTGATGGAGTATTTTAGTTTTTGAAGAAAAAAATAAGATGACCTGTTTTGACATTATTAACAACACGCGCTGCGACAATATCATTTTGATCAGTTCGGATTTCTATCCTTACAATGTGATCACTTTCTGAACTTTTCATTATATTCACCGAGACGGAATATGGCAAACTTGGCCTGACAATTTTTGGTGCAATCACTAAGTAATTTCCTTCGCTGAAATTCAACTTTTAAAGCTATTTAAATAATATGTTTATTAAAATATTATGATTTAATTTTCATTCATAATTTGGCCACCAAAATTTTAAATATTCAAAAGAAAAATTGTACTGAAATCAGAATAATACATTACTAACAATAATTTAATTTCAATCCTATTTTTTGTTCGCATATTTATATGATACTTTAATGAGCAAATTTTGATTGAAAATGCTATTAAAAACAGAAAATAAAATTGCGTTTTTTGATCTATCATGTCAATTATTCTTTAATAATGAAGTAAATAATAACTGATAATGAGAAATTATCATTTTAAAGGTATAAAATTCAAAAATTCAAAATTTAATCGAATAAACTATTCTGATAAACAGAAATCTAAATTTTTGTTTTTGTACTTTGTTCATTGCCAAAAGCTATAAGTTTGCTAGAAACATACTGTTTTTCGGGTGCAGTAGTAGTAGTAAAACGCCACATTGGTGTTATTGTCTCGACAGTAGCTTCAACACGTAACAATACGGCTATTATGCCGTAAAGCCAAGCGTAAAACATTTTCCACTTTTGGAATTTCGAGTACTGCGATGATTACAATAGTAACTTGATTTCCTGTATGGATGAATGCTAATTCTGATACTGTAATAAGACGGATTTATTATTAACTCTAATAATTATCATGATATCAAGCTGTTAAATTAACAGCTATAAATATGGGAAACTAACATATTCCTAACAATTTATAAAAGCATTTAATGCACTTTCGACTGAATACTTCAATAAAGTTTGAAATGAACTAATGAAAAAGCATTGATATAAAGTACTAGTGCAAATTTCATATACTGACTGTATTCAACCAAATGCAAATTATCTGAAATATTTTTCAGGTCACTTAAATTATGAGTTTTAGCTTTTAGATTAGATAAACAAGTCATGTGGAAGATTTACATTTTGCAAATTACTTTATGCAAAGTACTGTTAATTGACATGGATATGGAATGTTTTGGTAGACTATAAATGATGTAAATATGATCATTACATCTTATGATTCAAATATATATAGTACCTGAATTATGTCATATGACTCAATTTTTAAACTAGTTTACTCAGTAATTTGTCAAAATTACTCTTTTAAAAAGAGCTACGAAATATAATCTCGCACTATTTGTCATTTATTTGCTTACTTTAGCAGTTAAAAGGCAAGAAATGCAAAACAAAAAATGAAAGTTAAAATAGCAATATAGTAAGGCTAACTTTTTGAAACTTGGCAAAAATCTTTTAGAATTATTAGTCATTGTTTAATTATAGCAGTTATATTAACTTTGAGCAGTTAATTTTATACAAAATATTATTTTTGTTGCAAATTACTGTTATCATAGAGTTGTTGTCCATCATACTGTACACGAACTGTGTACCATTATTTTACTGTAGTTGTTATTATCTTATCTTTATGATCATCAAGTATTTATTTGTGTAATGATTCACTGCAGTCGTATTATTTTATGGCTGCTCTAATTTGTCAATTTTGAATGAATCATTTAATGAATACATAACTTGTCACATAATAATCAAGGAAATTATATCTCAGACTAGTTATTACTTTTGGTAGCTTAAAAAAAGTTAGACTAGATTTGGAAACTATTATTATGTTAAAAAGAGTTCAGTACAGAGAGTATTTGTAACACAGTTAAATATCAATTTCATGTCACAAACTTTAATGTACAAAGCACATAATATGAAATTATGCAAATATATTCACTAATATTTATGCAATGCTATTCAAAACTATAAAAATGCCCCATAAATAGTTTGTTTTTGTATTTAATTGTGAGCAATAAGTTGGTAATGACACAAATATCTATACTTTAAGTTTGATTAAAACTTCACAAAAACGTAACGTAAATTTTTTAGTTGAGACAAAAAATACGAAATTTATCCATTTTTACGTTCGGCAAAATTTGAGAATACAAAATATAGTGTGATATTCTGAGAAATATCATATTATATGCTCATTTTATAAGCATAAGGAATTTTTTTTAAAAAAGAGAATCACTTTTTTAATGCTTTTAAGAAGCAATGTGATGAATAATCAAGAAGCTGTTTTTGCACAATATTAATAATAATACTGATATTTATAGGTGAAAACAGAATAAAAACTATAAATAACGAATGACGATATTTTATATAAATAATGCTTGAATTAAAAGTATGAAAAAGCAAAAACTTTTTTAATCCAAAAAAACTCAAAAAGTTTGCAGCAAGAATGCACTGAAAAGTTTGGTATGCATAGAGTTTTTGGATTTATTACTGTAACAAATGATAAAAATATGATGTAAATGACTGTCTTCGGGATAATTTCGTAGAATATGCGTTAATTCAAAAATACAAGTATAAAAATCAAATAAATCAATGATGTGCCTCGATTTTTTGATTTATCTAAAGATTGTTAGTTTCGAATAGGTATGGAAAGTAGTTCGAGTTTGGGGTACTGTACAATCTTCAACAATAACAATATATTTATGAAACAAATAGTCAGTTTCAGACCAAAATAGCCTGAATTAGGTAATCTTCGTAATACGTGTAAATAATATAATTAATAAAAATGGTATAGTTAGTGTCATATATAAATAGTATTCGACTATACAGTTTGATGGTATTTGATAGGAACTGATAGATTTTATGTAAATTCAGTCCCATAAATTCATACTAATGATAAAATTAATGAGGGAGAGATTACAAAAATTGCTGAATTACTAAAAATATCTGTAGAAATTTTTGCAAAAATAAATATTTTAGTTAACTAACGTGTTAGGTTACTCAACCAACAGAAAATGTGAAAGATTAAGTGAGCTTTTTCAAATCTGTTTGAAAAAACTGATTTTAAATTTATTTAAAACAGCTGACTGCATCAGAATAGTGCTTTAATACGATTAGATTCATATTATACCTAAATTTGATTCCATTTCATATTAAATAAATTAGAATAGTAAAAAAACTTTATTTTAGCAATTATTTGCTGATAATTTACGAATAATATTAAACTGATATCATTTAAGGAAATGTG